GTGCTTCAGAGCAGGGCTTGCTCCTGCCAAGCATGGGAGCCTAAAACAAAGTACAGGAGCTGAAGCTCTTCCCCAATTTCAGGCATTTCTTTGCACTCCCAGGAGTTATCACACTCTGTGCTTTGCACAGCCATAACATCCCTGAAAGTACTCACACAGACAGGGGGTACATAATATATGCTCTCATTTATTATAGAGCGGAGCTTCAAAAAGCAGCAGGTACATCCAAGATGATAAATCCAGAGTATTGCATCCCACAAACAGCACGTTCCCATCTCTCAGAACACCCTACAGCCCCCAGGGAGGCAAAATTGGATGTTATTTCCCTGCAAAAGAAGGTATGTCTTAGTTTAGACTGAGCATTTACATAAGTGCTTGTAACTTAAACTAGAACTCATTAGAACAATCAGTATTTGAACTATTTAGAACATAAAGTGTCCTCACGAACTGCGCAAGCACCAGTCTTTCTGCTCCCAGGGAATGCTAAGTCAGCAGACACACAATTTCTGATTTAAGCAGCCTCTCATGCTTTCGTATTTCAGCAAAGATCTGTTTGCTCCTCCACACAACTCTGCACAGGCACAACTCCAGCCTCCACAGTTTACACTCACCACAGTTCAGGTTTCAATAGACTTCTCTTGTCAGAGAGCAAATCAACAAATACAAGGACAGTAAGCACACCCACAGGCAACAGTTGACTCTGAGTCTTACTTTTTACATGACCTAAAAATACCTCAAGAATTATCAGTTCCCTTTTCTAGACAGATGTTACTAGAAGCTAGCAAAGGTACCAAGTTTGTACATTTTCAGTAAACACATTGACTAGTTTCCTGCAGCTTCCTGCATCTCTTCAAACCTACCTGATACTCAATGCTTTGGTTAGTCACTACAGAAGACCCAGCAGTAAAACTCCAGCAGCAGGAAAGCACAAAGAGCCAGACTTCACCCCAACGTCTGAACTACCCCAGACACCAGCTCTGAACAGGGAAGAGCAGCAGACCTGAGGTGCTGACCTTACCTGCTCTGATGGTGATGATGTTGCTCCAGTCCATGTCTCCAGAGGAAAGCGCTGTGGAAAGAGAACTTACTGCTTCCCCTGAGCTATTTAACCTTCCACAACTACCTGGGACCCAGCACTTGGCCATTCCTCACCTGGTGGGTAAACTACTTTGATCACAATCACCTGAGAGCTGAAGCTGGGACTGGCTGGCCAAAGAGGGCGGGACGTTTCCAGGAAACGTGCCTGATCCTCTTGCAACCAGCTACAGCCACAGCAAACTTTCTCCAGGAGGCCATGGAAAGGCAATTCCCGCAGACAATACTGTTTGCTACAAGGGGTTCACTGCTTCCCTTGCTGTGCATTGGGTGTAAGCTAAAATGAGCTTCAGCTGGTTGGTGTCCAACAGGGATATTTAGTGGGGAACAACCATATAGACACAATATTGTAATACAGCAGCAGCAATCTGGCAGTAGAGTTTTCTGTCTCCAACACTGTGGACCTAAGATTTAAACTTTTACATCATCCCTTGTGTGATAGTTTAATTAAGAAGAAAATTAACCCTATCCCAGCAAAAAGGCCAGGCTGGATGAGGCTTTGAGCAACCTGGTCTAGTGGAAGGTGTCCCTGCTGATGGCAGGGGGGTTGGAACTAGATGATCTTTAAGGTCCCTTCCAACCCAAACCATTCTATGATTCTATGATAAAAACCAGGACACCTTGCTAGGCAGCAGTGGCGAGATGCTGTGTCACACAAGGAGACGATGGGATGACAGCCCTGCATGGAACGAGTAATGCAATTGATACAGAAAAGGCAATAATAAAAACAACTTTCAAAGAAAAAAAGGCATTTTATTGAGGGGTTTCTTGTTCCAATCATAGAAGAGAGAAAATGGAAGCCCACAGGAGGCTTAGGCAGCATCACCTGCTGTCTGCAAACAGGCAGGGTCCCCACAGGCACCGTCCATCACCATGGCCTCTGGGCTCTGGTGTACTCATGCTCTTGTGCACTGCCCAGAGAAGTTTGTTCTCTACAGTGCTGATTTTCATGGGTCTTTTACATTTTCCCTTTCTCAAAACTCCCAAACAGAAACACAGTCCCCTCTCATCTGCTTTTCTAAATTAACTACCTAAAATAACATTAAAACAAAATGTAAAGATGCCTTAGCTGCTCACGACACGACGTTACATCAATCGCGTTCCTTTTAGTGCTGTTATTGTTACCAAAAACCTCCACGAACCAGGAGAGCACGAGGGAAATGGGGTGACAACCGGTGAACCTACCCCGCTGGATCCAGGCAGGAATGGCTGGCAGAACATGGAGCAGCTCGGCAAGAGAATGGTAAAATGACTTTCCAAGTCTGTGGAAAGTAAAACCAATACCAAAACACCACGTCTGAAACACGAGGTGCCAATCTGCTCAGCAGCTCTGATCGGCTTTGCGAGGACAAACATACGGGGTCAGAGGAGTGTTTGAAGTACCTGATAGAGCAACTAGTAACATACAATTATATTCTGCTTTAAAAAGGCAATTACAGTGATAATTTGCTCCTCCCACAGGTAGCTCTGAGGTGTGGGGATTCTTCAGCCCTGATGGATTCACAGCCCTCACACGATGTCTGCCACGCGCCCTGGCCCAGGGCATCGCTCCCACATCCCACACGTGCTGGCGTCTGTGCCTGCGGGCAAAAGCTCGCCAGGCTTTCAGGCTCAAGATCTGCTGGTGGAAAGGTGGCTTCCTGAGCAGCAAAGGCTGCCAAGGGCTGAAAGTGGCTCTAAGCACATGTGAACTGGTTTGCTCTTTGATTTGATGCTTCCTGATGAAATATGTATTTTAAAAATAATAAATCAACATCCCAGTACAAAGCAGCTTTCTAGAGGTGGCCAACAGGACACCCACCAGCAGCCTGGACAATAGCACGAAAACTCCAGCCCAGTTAAATGTTTAAGCATCTCTCTCATGCAAAACCAATTCCTCTTCCCCATTGCTGCCTGGCTGGGGAAGGAAAGCTGGTGGGGCTGGAGGGTCCCTGCCCCGGCCCCTCTGGGGCTTTACCGGGTGCTGTCGCTGAACGTGCTCCAAGATAACTGGCCCTTCAGCTCAATGTGTCCCAGCTCTGGGCCATGACTGGTGTCTGACCAGGCTGGATTTGTCAGCTTTCCCCATCATTCCACCTCATCAATCTGTGATGTTAAAGCCTATGGTTTATTTATTTCTTTAATTCACGGATAAAGCACATTATCTACAATGATTAATTTTGCATCAAAGAAACAATACTACTACAAATGATGGTCTAAGACAACCTAGTGGGACTTTCTACAGCGTTCACATTCTAAATCCCTCCCTCTGTTAGCTGTGAAACATCATTCCACAGTGTGCTTGGCTTCTTCACCCAATTCTTCTCCAATCGAGTCCGTGGCTCTGTCCCCACGTGGGAATACAGCACTCCCGAGCTAAAGATTAACTAATTTACCAGCTTAAAGTGGGCTTGGTTTAAACCTCAAAAATGAGGATTTGTTATTTCACTTAACTGCAATACAACAGGATTATCTCAGATTGCAAGATCTTCATTCTCTCAGAGTAATTGTGATTGATGAGAACACTGAATGGAAGCAGGATAGAATAATTAATGTGGAGCAACTATGGGTCTATGGAAAAGAGAACTTGCCCAATTAATGGAATAATTAATTTCAGGTTGGTCAATAAGTGTAATCATTTGGATGCAATATTCTTTGTCTTTCATAAACTATTTGACCTCACACTAACATGATATTTTGATTAAGGAAAAAAAAAATAAAAATAATAATCCAGAATGACACAAAGTCAAGTTGTCACACATCAAACAGACAAAAACCTAGAAACCGATGAGTCCCATGGTGACTGCAAAGAGGGAGAGACGGAGACGATGCATTTCCCGTGGCGCTCCATAGGGACCACTTCTCAGCCTTCTGCAGTCTGGTACTTTGCCAGCAGCCTGAAGAAACTATAAAAATATCACTGGTAACGTTAGGGAGTGACATGAGCTGGAGAGCTGGCTGCAAGCTGTCCCTCAACGCTGAGTCCCCGGGTTCCTGGGCTGGCCAGCAAACGGGACGCATCTGCAAGGGGCTAGAATTGAATGACAGGTCTGGGCACAAGCAGCACCAGGACTCTGCCGCGAATGGCTGGAGCGGGAGGTGTGAGGGGGGGACACTCGGCTGAACGCCGCTGTGGCTGCTGCACCCTCGGACCGGGCAGGGCCATGGGGGGTTGGGGGGCTGGTGGAGGAGCAGCACGGTGCCCAGCTCGGATGCTCGCAGCTCGGCTGGGCAGAGGCCAGGGCAGGTGTCCCAGTGACACCTTATGAGAAATGCTGGCATGGGAGGGCTCCCCGGTCCAGCTGATCAAGGACCTCGGGGTTAAGGCTTAAACTAAGCAGGTTCAGACTACAATGGGATTTTTTGTACAGTGAGGGCAATTAGCTATTAAGAGGTTTTATCAGAAGTTGTAACGGGTTTCCCACTACTCGTTTATGAATTTTTATCGTGAGGATGGGATGCTTTTCTAATTGGCTGGCTCTGATTCAAACAGCAACTAATTTACGGCGATCCTGCAGCCATGAAGATGGGAGTAAAATGGTCACAAGGGTCTTTTCTG